TGACTGATGACAGACTTCATTTCGAATAATGACAGCATTTGCCTTGATGAGTTGAAATTTTGTGTTCATCAAATTATTGTTCAACCTAGTATTATTTTTAACATAATAAGTTTCATCTGCAATCTTTAACTCTATTTATGTTACAATCATAAGTATGTTAACATTCTAAATTTGCAAAATCTACCATATACCTTCCCATAAGTTCAGATCCAGGTCTCTTTCTTTCAGATTTCTGATAGGTTATTCCCTCCTTTTGTGAAATAAGATTAGTCTATTAAAACGAATTTCTGTAAAGTTGTCCTTTCACCGAAAGGGTTACATTTAATTAAATTATCTATTATAAACACCCTAATTGTTTGTAGATAAAGTTTCATGAGACGTATAATCTACTTTCTAAGTTCAACATTAATAATTAAGAGAAAGTTAAAATTAAGATAAATTCAACAGTTCTCTTAATTTTATGTTTTCTATTATTTAGGCAACAACATAAAGACTAAAATTAAGGAAAGGTAATCTAGAACAGTAAACATTATATTGAAACTTTCTATTTCTTTAAATTATTGCACTTGTTAACTAAGGTTGTAAAGATTTATTTGTTTTCATTTAATCAGTTAATTTGCTCAGAACCTTTACTGCCATTCCCCTTTTCCGTTTTCCTACCAGAATGTTAAATTCATTTTGCACGTATTCAAATGAGATTAAAATAGATAGCATTTAAAGGGAGCTTTGAGATTGGTTAGTCAGAGCTTTTGCAGCCTGCTGAAAGCCATGTTACTAGTTGAATTTCTGCTATAGCAGTCTCTCTTCGGTGCTGCTTTATTCTCGCCAACAGTGCTTGTCACGCCTGTATAGATTTGAGCCAACTTTCGCATGTTTAATTTATATGTAGCCTTTGGCTAACTTAAGATTTAAACTTAGTTTATTTTGAAATTCATTGCTTATGAGTTACGCCATTAATGCTGGCCGGTTTTGTAAGCACAGCACAAGAGATGCCTTCTGTTAAAGTATTGAGTTCTTAATAAAAGGGTATTTAATATTCTTCTTACGTTCCCTGTTTTCTTACTGGACATAGCAATAAGTCGCTTAGATCAATGTAGTGTCCAAACTTTATGTATGCTTCCCAAGAAAGTAAGACTCCACAAGGTACTTTTTTGTTTTTTAGTATCTCTTAGCAATAGCATTCCCACACGCTCTCCTTTCAGTACCTTAAGTGGTTTTATTGCTATTAGTATAGAGCATATTTCTGACAAATTTAATTTAATGAGCCTTTCTGGTATTTTTTTAAATAATTTTCATCAAGTTAAGTAAACATCAGCAAATTTCATAATACTTAATGCATCTGGGTAAGACAATATTTCGTTCTAAATCAACATTAGGGGTGAAAAAAGGAAAATACTGAGAAATATGAAACAAAGCGAGGAACTTTTAAGCGAACGACCATATTTTGTGATAATTTCGTTTAATTTTTTTAAAGTACCTTCTTTGGTTACTACAGGGGTTGGACAAAAATATGGAAACACCTTTAAAAAAACATGTTTCTTTGCTTAATATGGTGTAGGAAACCCGTTGGCATCCAAAACAGCTTGCAGTCTTCTCGGAATGGATAAATACAGTTCCTGTAAGTTTGCCAAGGGAATATTATACCATTCTTTCTGCAAAACGGTGGCAAGTTCAGATAACGATGTTGGCGGTGGATAACGAGAACGCACTTTCCGTTCCAATGTAGACCACAAAGGTTCGATAATATTCAGGTCCGGTGACTGTGGTGGCCAGGGGAGATGGGACAACTCATCCTCGTGCTCAGAAAACCAGTCCTGGACAATGTGAGCTGTGTGAACAGGGGCTTTGTCGTCTTGGAAGACACCATCACCATCGGGGAACGAAGTTTGTACCATGGGATGAACTTGATCGGCCAAAATGTTCACATAAGTCTTGGCAGTCATGTGCCCTGACACAGTTATCATGGAGCTAGCAGAGAACCACGATATGGCTACCCAACCATAACAGAACCCCGGCATGTTTCACTCTTGGCAACAAGCAGTCTGTATTATAGGCTTGAGATGGCGTACTCCAGGCGTAAATTCGGCCAGAAGTGGGAAACAATGTGAAAGAAGACTCGTCAGACCATATTACTCGCTTCCACTGCTCTATAGTCCAAGCTTTATGACTTAAACACCACCTTTTCCTGTTATGGGCATTAGCATCACTGATGAGTGGCTTCTCAATTGCAGCACAGCCAGCAATTCCCTGTTTATGAAGCTCAGTTCTAATTGTTTTGGTACTCGCAGGGTTCGGTAACACAACATTCATTTCAGCAGTAACTTTTGCAGCTGTGGTCTTCTTATTTTTCGTCACAATTGACCTTAATGATCGTCTGTCACGATCACTCGGACACAGTTTCGTCCGCGCTGTGATTTAGCAGATGATGTTTTTCCGCTTTTCAAATATGCGGAATAAATCTTCGATACAGTACCTCTTGAAACACTAAACACCTCGGCTACCTTGCTTACGGAAGCACCTACCATACGTGCTCCAACAATTTGCCCACGTTCGAAGACTGTTAACTCTGACATAATGCAATGACAACCTCACATAACAGTACTCCGACAACAACTGAACTGTTTAGCACATTTACGAAGTTGTATAGGTGGCGTCAGTAGTCCAAAACGCCAGCGCCACCTACATATTTCATTAAAATCAATCTTTCTTTTCAAGCATGCATTTCACAAGGTGTTTCCATATTTTTGTCCATCCACTGTATTATTTTACATAACCAGTTGTTCTATGATATAGATTTTTACTGTCACTTCTGCTTTCTATTTACCTTCCAGAATGCGAATTAATTTGAAAGTATTTAAGCTGAAGCTTTCGGATTTAAAGGTAGAGCGTGTTTCTGCCTCTCCAAGCCACGTTTCTAGGGTTTACTAACTCTGATGAGATTTTAATTCTTCGGCTTTGCGTTTTAACTGCCGATTTTTAAATTAAGGCCCAGTGGCGCGTTGGAAATATTTAAATTAAGGCACGGTGTGGCGCATTGGCGATATTTAAATTAAGGCACGGTGGCGCATTGGCGATATTTAAATTAACCCGCGAGCACACGCGGCGGATATGTCATACCCATGTACATTTTTCTTTTTGTATATTTCTCGCCCATTCTTTCATAAAAGGACGAAACTTAGTGTAGCTGAGTTCCAGGTCATATTCTTAAATGTGGGAAATTCCTGAGGTGACAAGTGCAACGGTTGTTTAGGACCAGCATTGTTCGGGCATGTCATACCCGCCCGTGTACTGGCGTTTCTCAGTGAGTCACTTTGCACTTCTCGTTTTCAAGCTTTTAGTATAAGTTTTTCTTGCGTTGTAAGCATGGCGCCGTATATTCCTTACGAAGAAGAGATGAAAAGATTGAGAAATCTCCTTGAAACAGTTTCTTCTGATGAGGATTCATTTAGTGAAGAAGAGGAAGATGTTGGTGACGAAGAATATAATTAGTAATCATGATTCATCCATAAAGTAGTGATTCAGATATAGAAACAGAAAATGAAACTCTGGAATGTAGCAATGCGTTCATGTTGGGAAAAAATGGAACAAAAATAAATTCCGGACTAATGTTAGAATTGGCGCCAAAATATTATAACTAAACTCCCTGGAAATACAAAGTATTCTAAAGACGTCTCAACACCTTTAGAGTATTTGTCATTGCTTATCGATGAAGATATGTTAAAACACGTAGTTGACAATACAAATATTTATATTTATTCAATACGAGAAAATTTCACACGTGAACGGGATGAGTACTTTTCTCAAAGCCTTAGGGATGCAGCTAATAGAAAATGTTCGAAATGAACGACGAGGAGCATCTGTGGTTCCTGATTCTGGACAAACACTGACCACCGATGAACATGTTAACAATGGACCGCCCTCCAGAAACCTAAAATGACTTAGAAGAGGTGTACAGAGTGCTCCAAGAAAAAGGATAGAAAGACTAGATTCATTTGTGAAAATTGTAGCAAAAGTATATGTATGGAATATATAACCTCATTTTTTAAACAATGTTCAAAAAATTGTAAGTAAATAATTTTTCCTCTCCTTATTGTTTCCTATTTTGTCTAAAATGAAGTATTAACTTGGTTTTACTTTTTAATTTCTTTTAAAAAACCGATTATTTTTTTTCGGCAAATTTTTATTTACAATTTTTTTTGTTCGGGTATGACATACCCGGCGCGTGTTCTCGTGTCCGTCGGATCGGTGCGTGCACTCGCGGGTTAAGGCACGGTGGCGCATAGGCTAACGCGTCGCGTAGCAGCACCATTGATCCTCGGCTTGATCCCCGGGCTGTACAAGGTTGCCTCAGCCTTTCATCTACCGAGTGGATCGATAAAATGAGTGCCAAATTCGCTTGGGGACTAGATGCCGGGGGTCCTGCATCAAGCTGACAACTTGTTCAGAGCATATGCTGAAGCACCCCGGTCAGGAAAGCTGATATCGGGGCACTGCAGGCCATGGCCCACTAGGGCTGTTGCGCCACTGAGTTTAGTTTTTTATTTAAATTGTTACACTTGGGAAGTTTGAACAACTTCAAGTTAAATCAATCTGTATAGTCTGTGGCTACTAGAGTTAATTTAACTTTTGAAATTGACTGCTACTTTAATTTACCTCGCCACAAGTGGTGGTTGAGCTTGTCAAGCTTGAGTCTCGCGTTTATGTTCAAGTTCTAATTTAATAAAAATGTTTGGTTTTATACCTTCTTAAAACTTTGCAATTCTTTTTAGACACGGGGATATAATTCGCTGTAAATCTGTTATGTGTTTGGACTTAGCTTATACTACCAAAGAAAATCAAAACCTATAACCTTATCCAGTATTCATTTTAACCTTATTCAGTATTTATTTTAACTTTATTATTTGCTCATACGTTATTAAAATATGTATTCAACTTTAGCGTATCAACCTCAAATTTTTCACTTCTCATTCTAAGATTTTATTATTTTATCTAATCTACAGATGTTCCACAACTGGTCTTGCGACTCGGCAGCAAATTGCGACATTTCCACATTCAAGAGGGAAACGACGTTTACATGGAATGTGACATTCGAGCTAATCCTTGGGTGACAGAAATTGGATGGTCATTTGAAGGTCGAGAACTTCACACCAATGTCTCTGCAGGACTCATCATTAGTAATCAGTCCCTAGTTCTTCAGCGAGTCCAGAGGACAAATAGAGGTCATTACACTTGCTCTGCTTCTAATTCTGAAGGAATGGGCGAAAGCAAACCTCTCTACCTTTCCATACAATGTAAGTATAATGTTTAGTTTTACATCAAATGAAGCTTGAGGTAGAAAACATGATTCTTTTGCACGCATTTCTTTTCGGTATTTTGAATAAGATTTATCAACATTTTGGTGAACAGAGTACCAAAAAATAACCAGAATTATTTTAAGTAATCTGTATAATTATACTATAATTTATATAAATATATTATAATTTATATATTATATAAATCTATATAATTTTATTATAATTTATAGTGGCATATTATGGCTCCCTTCAAATCATTTTCCGACATCAATACTTTTCTAAACGTTTTGTTCACTGCTGGAATTATGGAAACAATTTTGGAATTCTTGACATGGAATATCATTCAAGGCATTCAGCATTTATTTCTTGCACCTTAACCACGTCATTGCATTAGCTTTTCAGGACTTTCTACGCATGTGCAAATACAAAAAGTCATGCATTTAGCAATAGGAATTTTTAGAAAGAAGCGTGAATGAAACCGAAGCGTCTTGTTATTCATCCCCAAGAAGTGACGATCAGATAGTTTCTTCAGAAACCTGGTGAATGATCTTTCGGCTATTCATTGATCGACTATCGCATTTTCTTTACTTCTACATGCTAAAGGATGTCCAAATCGTAACCACCTTGTTGCCATTCTCGAATCTATAAAACCATTTGTACATTTCTTATTTACTCAAAGCGTCTCCTGTAAAGTGTACCAGAGCATGACAACGGTCTCAACTCAATTAAAAAAATATATAAAAATATCATGCGTACACTTTGCTCTTTGTGGTCGCATATCCCAAAAATGGCAGGAAATTGCGAGGAGGTTCGCATCTAAATCATCACTGAGACCGCTGCACTCATCTATATATCATCACATCGTCATGATGAACCGCTACACTCATCCTGTGCAGCAAACTGGTATCAGAAATCATAAGTTAACATGATTCATAATTGCAAAATTTTAGCATGTAGTTCTGTCATTCCGGCTATTTTAAGGTTAACTCTACGCCTACTGGAGATGTTATGTCATTTTTCTTTTCATTGTCACAGTAATATTAATACAATAATACTAGACTAAAAATATATGCCATCATTACATTGTAAATACCTCTTGTGATTAAAAGATACTAGTTTCGGTAAGCCTTTACAAGAAATACCTCCAAATTGAGGCTCGCATTCCCAAAGGTCCCAGGCAGAATAATTAAAAGCATATTATTTAATATTGGCAGAAAAATGACTCATTCAAAGGAATAACAGAAAATGCAATTTAAAGCTTGAAATTAACTGAACGTTCTCTCGAAACGCAAAAATTTTTTATATATCATATATTTTTAGGCATATATTTTTAGTCTAGTATTATATTATTTATATATCTTCCACCACATACCCATTCCTGTTTTTGTTTTAATGGTAAATATTGGAAAGTAATCCTTAAATAAGTTGTGCTAATCCTATTTTGGGGAATTAAAAAATTTAATTTTCTACCAGATATACATATTTAGTTACTCATATTTTAGCAGCATTAAGAGTATAATTTGTGGAATTGTGTTACTATGGGGTATTTAACCAGTTAAAATGTTTGTGAACTAATCTTAAACATAATATCATCCGCTACATATAGTCGATGCCATTTCTTTGTGGAACTCTGTCAAATACCAGACATTTCTACATAGAAATCTCAATTTAAATCTGTAAGTATTGAACATCACTATAGACGTATATACAGTGTCTTCTTCGCCGCCCATACGGAAAAGTGGTTAGTGACTCTGACTGTAGTACAAAAGGACTTGGGTTCGAATCCGGGCGAAAGAGGGGTGTAAACTATCTACCCCTTCGCGCTGATTCACCTATTAGGTTCCTGCATAATAAAGTGGCCACCGTTTCCAGCCTTAGTTTTGCCCAATGTCTATGATGATCCGTGCTCGCCTTTGGAAAGGAAATAAAATGGTCTTTTAAGAAAATGTGTTCAAAGGCCGTGTCGCACAATAAAATATTTTGCTTAACAGTCATTCATCTAGTTTTTAAAGAATGTTCTAACCTAATCCTTCACATGAACGAAGTGATGTTAGTTATTCATAATATTTCAATGCATCAGAAGCGAAACTTTCAATGAAAGGATGATACTTTGGTGTGTTTCGCAAAGCAATTTTACAATTTACATTAAGGATTTCAGCAAATATTTGCCAAAATATTTTTACCCCCGGAAGTCTTTATCTTTCAGGATACAAAAGCTTGCATACAGTACGCGGCTCTCAGATTGTTACGATTCGCCAAAACATAAGATCTTTAATTTATTTTTAAAGCTTAATTAACTGTGATTGTTTCAGAAAATAAGATTTTTGAAAACAGTAAATGAATTTGTTAATACTAACTCAGTTTTTTTTATCTTAATGATATATTTAATTTGCATGAATTAAAATAATTTATTTAAATATTAAATATATTAAAATAATATTTAAATTATAATGTATTCATTTTGATAATTTTACGAACGTTTCCAGCGTTGTATTAATAACTCGAGGATGTTTCTAACGTCACGTGCAATAAGGAATTTTCGTTTCTACTTTTATTAATAGAGGAGTTATTTAATATTATTTCATACTCAAAGGTTTCATTTTAAATCACTTTCTTATTTTGCTTTTACAAATGAATCTTTTACTAAAGAAGCAATTTGACTTTTCTTTGACTTGGTTTGAATATTGCTTCCTTTAGTTCTAGGAAAGCATAACGTAGTAACATTTAGTACAGACTTAATGTTCAGCATCACAGCATGCTTCCAACTAAATGACTTGACTTGAATAGCTAATTCCAAATGTAATCCACCATCTCCTTTATGATGCAAATTAAACTGCTTTCGTTACGACCCTCAGAAATAAATAAATTCCCTTGCACAATATCAAGAAACAAGTTAAAGTTTAATCACCTATTTTAACTCTCATCTAACTAAAAGCAGAGCAAAATACCCATTCTAGCATAGTGCCTTCATTTGGGTTGAAATGATCCTTGAAGCACATCTTTTCATATTTCCTTTTTTTTTCTGGTAGCAAGACAGACGAAACTAATGTAAGAGTAATAATGTATCCTTTCTCTCAGTTGCAACAGGAAGTTTTAACTTCCTTAAGTGATGTTTCCGCTCACATTTCACTACAATGAATACAAATCATAAATCATCTGTATCCAGGTTCTCCAATGGTCTACTATTATATAAACTGCGTATTTTGAATAGCTTTTGAATAAAATTTTTACCATCTGAATATCTCAGACATAATTTTACTTGGCAAGGGTTTAATTTAAGGAATTGGACGTTTTACGTATTTTAATCTATTAGTAAAAAAAATAAAATGTTTTCCTTTACGTATGCTACGTTTTAATTTTCTATCTTGTCAGAACTAAGTTGGAATCATACATAATATCAGTGCCGTTACTGATTTCTTGAAATCAAATTCCATGCATTCAAGTGTTTTTTACGGTAGGAAGAAGCAGAGATTATGTGCAGAGTAAAGAGCTACCGCTCAGCCTAATGCTAGAATTGGCATTCAAGCTTTAAAAATTTCATGTCAAACTAAAAGAAAATATGTAGAGTTCCATTGTAGAGCCATTAAGTTATTTTGAAGCAATACACATGAAATAGGAGCAATACCGTCGGGAGGACTCGAACCTGCAGCTCCCGAATACGCGCTGACTGTGCTATCGTTACCCCATGCTCGAAGGAGACAGAAAATACCTTATGTACTTCCCTTTGAAAAAGCGACTGGGTATCCTGGTTGTCACGAATTATTGTTTACCACTTTTTAGTTAGGGCGTCACAGTAGAGTCATTAGGTTATTTTGAAGCAGGAGCCATGAAAAATGCGCAATGCCCTCACCAGGACTCGAACCTTCACCTCTCGAATAGACTCCGAGCTATCTTTATAACAAGAAGGCATCCTGGAAGGAGGGAAAAAAAATCTTATGTCCTTAGATATTCCATTCAGAAAGTCAGTTTCATTATATTGTTCCGTTTTCTTTTTCTGACACCAGTTGTTACGTTATTTTCTTCCTTCACATTCGAACGGGGTTCGTAAGGATTTGGAGTGAATAATGACAATACTACTTGATGAAGTATCGAAACACACTTTATTGGCCAGTATTGTCAGGACAGCTCCAAAACACGTTTTTGTTTTTACAGCCGTCGATGAACTACTCTAAGCACGCTGACACAATCAGCGACACAGCCTTCAGGTTATCAGGCTATCACGATGAAGACAGCTCCACTACAAAGCACCAGAGTACAGCTCCCGACTCTGCTCGGTCGTTATCGGAACTCCACGTACTCTCGAGACTCTTCACGCTACAATTCGCGATGCACTCGACGACACACAGAGCACGCTCCCGACTCTTCGTAACAGTCGTTCCCGGAGCTCAACACGCTCTCTCGGCGATGCACTAACCGCGATACACTAAGAGACTCCTTCGGTGAACTCGACTACCCACTCGGCACTCGCTGCCTGGCTGTCAACTCGATCAACTTCGCTGGGATTGAGTCGCTAGACGAGACACACTGACTGACTGCGAACCAGCAGGGTTTATATAGCTTTCAGCTTGTGTTCGAGAACATTCTGGGGTAAACCGGTAAGAATGCGTTCCAGAAGGTTCTCCATCCGTCCATGGGATATCGCTGATTTTGTCGCCAAATGGGCGATTTCTCGCTAAATGTGGCAACCTACCCTTCCCTTGCCATTTTATGGCAACCCTAAAATTGCTTTGCAGAAAGCTATCTCACCGCGCCTGTACATTTCGTAACACTGCTCCCTCCCAAGGACTGCACGTCCCGGGCAGTACAACCCTTGGTCAGAAGCCAAATTCGATACAAACAAAATGTTTTAAAGCTCACAGGTAACATATCTATAAAACAAATATTTATACTACATACAAACTTTACACAGAAACTAGGTAAGAAAACTCATACACAAGAGTTATGGGTACACCTAAAAATGAGAAGCACTAAGTACTATGGCCATAGTATGGGGCTAA